TACCTCTATCTCCCAGGCAAGGGAACAGATGTTAAGAGATCGTGAGAAACTTTACCAAACAAAATCAGTAAGTGGCTGTGCCAGGACGGAAACCCAGGTTGTTATAAATTGGAAGCAGAGACTCTTGACTCCAACAGTGTACTCCTTGCCTCTAACAGGGCCTGCTACTCATAGGACTGCCTCCCGCAGGGAGCTCAGACCTGTGATGGCACCGGCAAAAGTTAGCTGTCAGGCTCCTCGTCCCAGCGTGCAGGGAGCTCCTAATCCTGCAGAGCGGTGTGCAAAGGGCTCTGCATCCTTCTCTGGTCCCAACCTCTGGGAAGGATGTATAATACAACATCCTTACAAGCACTTCTATACACAGCACTCCATGCAAACAGCACTCCCATCGCATCCAGGGAGAAGAACCAACAGTAGTGTGCAGATTCCAGTTTCAGATTGGCCAGGGCAGTGGAGAGAAGTCCTGCCCTTTGTTACCTACCACACTGGTGCGGACCCAAAGGGTTTCATAAATACTTGCTGCTCCTGCAGTTGCTACATGAAACTGGCGAGGGGGAGGGAGGGGCCTGTTCTGGAGATGTGCTGCCGTGGGAAGATGCTCACTACAATCCTTGAGTGAGTTCCTGGGGTCTCCAGCTATTTTCAAACCCCAACAGGTTTCGGGATCTAATGGCCTGGGGTAGGAAATGACTTTTCACTGTACATTAATTCCTTTTTTAAAAAAAATATTAATATTAAAATAAATTTAGAAACAAATAAACAAAAGAACACCCAACTGACACAAAAACGAATATACCAAGATTAAATCAGGCTGCAATATTACAGATTCCTTTTTTGAAATACATGATTTTTTTTTTTTCTCAATGAAAAAAGTAAGTGGTGCCCGGAATCTTGGTTTTCACTCAGAATCCGATTTCATTATAAAGCTGGATGGAAAGTCCCTGCACGAGAGACAGGGATGTCTGTATGGGGGAGGGGTGGGAGTGGGGAGAGAAAGTGTCTTCCAGACCCAGCGTTACTCTGTAAGATGATCATCCTGACACCGCAACCCAGGGGACAGCGAAAGAGAGCAGGTGGGAGCGGAAGGAAACTCCCTCAGTCAAGAACAGGGCGCCCTGGAAACAGCCATTTCAATTAGCGCCAGACCGACTGGAAATGAGGCTTAAGAAGCATTTTACACAATAGCCCAAGGATAATTCGCTTAGCACACGGACCTCTCCTGTAACTGACTCGGCTTTTTCCCACTGCAACGTAGCATTCACCTCGTTTACGTTCAGTTATTAGAGCACGTATTACCTGTCATAAGGTCCTTTCAGTTCTCACTAAAGAACTTCTCTGAAAGTCCCGTGCACACGCCGCCTTCACAGCCGAGAACACTGATAACACTTTCGGAAAATGCTATTTAAGGGCCCTGCAGCCCTATCTCCAACACGCCTACTTTTCAGTTAATCTTAACTTGTAGGGAAAGTTTCTTTTTCCACTATGTAGCCTCTATTGAGTGCATTCACAAAGGCATTCTTTACATTTTTTCAGAGGTCTATCCATCCTCTCTGAGTTATGACTTAAGAAAACACTAGAAGCCTGGTCATCAGAAAAAAAAAAACACCAGTAAATCCCATTTTAAATGGGAAACACTTGGACTCCATTTATAATCTTAAATTTTTCTTAGTTACAGAAATAAGACATGCTCATTGGAAATAAATTCAACCAAAACAGAATAACATAAAGGATCACGTGAAAAATATCTTACAATCCCATTCCTCAAAGAGTGTAATTAACAATTTGCTATATGTCCTTCCAGATTTTTCTGTACATGTAATATATATGTATTCGAGATCCCTAACATGAACCGCTTGAAGCTGTGAATGAAGTTTTGTGTGCATGTATGCATATGCATTTTATTTAATTATTATTTTTATATTTTTATTGATTTCAGAGAGGAAGGGAGAGGGAGAGAGAGATAGAAACATCAATGATGAACGAGAATCATTGATTGGCTGCCTCCTGCATGCCCCGCACTGGGGATCGAGTCCGCAACCGGGGCATGTGCCCTTAACTGGAATTGAACCCGGGACCCTTGAGTCCGAAGGTCGACACTCTATCCACTGAGCCAAACCAGCTAGGTCTGCATATGCATTTTAAAGGAAAAGTGACCCATAGCTTTCATCAGTTTTCAAAAAAGTTTTAAAATATATATTACTATATTTGTAATATAAAGTATAACATATATAACTATATGTAATTCCTATTTAGTTTACAAAAATCTAATCATAATTGACATATAATTCTGAAATTCATTTTCTTCCACTTATGGACATATTTTTCCATTTCAGAAGTAATTTTTGTTGTTCCTGATATTTTTTATTATCTCTTAGTTTTTCTCCCTGGAAGTGCCAGAATCTGGGGCTTGGAGACAGAAAGATCTGGATTGGACTCTGGGCTGAACCACTTACAAGTGCTGTAAGTCTGGCAAGTTACTCAGGCTTTTGAAGTCTCAGTTTGTCATCTGTAGAGTCGATTAGAATTATAATTGAATGATTGCATGGAATAAATAGTAAAGTGTATTTTAGGCAGTTGGCACAAGCAATGACTGGCTTAGAGTGAATATGTAATGAACACTAGTGCTTTTGTAGGTAGAATTCGCTTGCTCCAACATCACACATATAACATCTGGAGAAGGATTTTAAAATCAGGATTTAGAATGACAATAAAGTGGTTTATTGAGAATAAAGCTGAAACCGCACTCTGGGATAAAATAGTATTACCCATTACTTAAGAATAAGCCAGCACGCCCTAACCAGTTTGGCTCTGTGGATAGAGTGTTGGCCTGCAGACTCAAGGGTCCCAGGTTCGATTCCGGTCAAGGGCATGTACCTTGGTTGTGGGCACATACCCAGGAGGCAGCTGATCAATGTTTCTCTCTCATCGATATTTCTAACTCTCTATCCCTCTCCCTTCCTCTCTGTAAAAAATCAATAAAAAAAAAAAGAATAAGCCAGCAAACAAATGATTCATATAGCTATAAATGTTACAAAGAATCAGGTGTCAGTCTTAACCAGCCTAAGGCAGTTGCCATGGACTGAGCTAATCAGGACTCCTCCCTTAGGATATTGAGAAGGTCACATTCTAGACCATTCCATGCTGGGGTTGGCCTTCCCATTCCGGGTCTTATTACTCAGTACTCACACTTTGCATGTGCAAAAGCTGCAAGTTCAATGTAAGCAGAGAATTCCATTTCTTTTGCACGATGCTGGTGGTCTGCCTCGTTTATTAACACAGAGATGGTTTAGGCCTTTAGCTAGACCTGCAGCTCTCTCCCTCCCAGTGCCCTCTGTCCTGCTGTGTCCACTCTTTACCTCTGGCGTACTGGGCAGCCCAGAGCAAGAGCATCCCTGCCGTGACCACCACTCCCTGGGCAATAACTGACCTCCAGGCATGTGCTAAGCATTTTGCACACTTTATTTTTGTAATCTCACAGCAATTATGGACATTATCTCTGTTTAGCAGATACCCAACTTGAGGTTTGATTAAATAAGGAACGTGTGCAAGATTGCAGACTCAGGAAGGGACAGGCTGGGAGTCTGAATCTCTTTATTCCGGAGCCCTGGAGCTCATGAATGCTACCTCCACACCTCTTGCTTCTGTGTGGTGGGCCACATGTTACACTTGCAAGACTCTGGTGGGAAAGGGAGAAAACATCAATGTGGTGCCCACTGGAAGTTTCCCTGGGATGGAGGCCTCCTCGTAGGGGGTCTTTCTGCAGGTTGGCATGTTCACATTCACAGTCCACACCTGCCGGTTGGAGCTGGGCTGAGCTCCTTCAGCTTTTGGGGGAGACCAGTGAGAAAACCGATCGGAAAGGGGAAGTGACATTATCTGTCGTGGCAGAATAACGGGCCACGAAGACGTCCACGTCCTGAAACCTGTGAGCGTGTTACCTCATGTGGCAAATGAGACTTGGCAGCTATAACAAAGGGTCTGGAGACAGAAGCCTCACCTGGATTTTCCAGGCGGGCAGTGTTATCACAAGGGTCCCGATAAGCGGGAGGCAGGAGCGCTCACGTCAGGGGAGAAGATGTGGCAACAGAAGCAGAGGTCGGTGATGCGGGAACCCAGAAGCTGGGAAAGGCAAGGAAACAGATTCCTCCCCAGCGTCTCCAGAAAGGAACTCTGTCCTGCTGACCCACTTCAGGCTCTGACCTCCAAAACTGTAGGAGAATCAATCTGTTGTTTCAGGCACTAAATGTGCGGTGACTTGTAAGAGGAGCCACAGGAACCCAAACCAATGTCCACATCCCAAGTATCTTATAAGAACCCTGTTCATATTAAACTTGAAGTCCTATGCCCAACTTATCTAAATCCTAAGACTCACGTTTATTGTATTTCTAACAGTCCATTAGTGACGTGCTGATGGGTCTGGTTCTCCCTCTTCATAAAGAAAATGAATTAAAATATACCCGTGAGCTTTCAGTGGTTCTCAACCTTCCTAATGCCGCGACCCTTTAATACAGTTCCTCATGTTGTGGTGACCCCCAATTTCATTGTTACAAATTGAACATAATTAAAGCATAGTGATTAATCACGAAAACAATATGTAATTATATATGTGTTTTACGATGGTCTTAGGTGACCCCTGTGAAAGGGTCGTGACCCACAGGTTGAGAACTGCTGTTTTATGTGGATATTGCCCTGCACACTCTGGATATTTCCAAAACCTAAGCGAGAACAGCCATTTCCTTTCCTTTGGGAACTAATGTAGGATCGTCTAATGGACACACATTCACACACTGACCCACAGCTTTTCAAATCCGAAACAGGCAGGCATGATGGGAGGTGAATGCAAATTCTCTTTTTTGCTGAGACACTTGCGGACATGGAGGAAAACGTGCCTCTGTTTACATATATAAATGTAGAAGCACTGTGAAATCTCAAACAAAATTAGCCACCACAGAGGAGGGAAAATATCAGAAAAGCTCATTAACCCAGGCAGAGCCACTTACATTCACAGGATAATGCTGGCCAGCGGACTGAAGGGGGCGCAGTCGAGCACGGATGGAAGACCCAGCAGCCCAGGAATAGGATTCAAGCAACGGGAGCGAAGATCATGAGCAGATGGACGAGGCTCTGGCTGTTCTTGTCATCGAGAATGCAGAAGAATCCTGTAGTTGGAAGGTTCCTAACATTATCATTGTGATTTGAATGAGCCAGGAAACACCAGATCCCAGAAATGCATCCTTTGTGGCCATACATTTCAGAGAGAAAGCACTGGTTTTCGGGAAACTTGCTATGCGTCCCTGCGCCCTCCAACTGGACACTGCGATCACCCATGTTTCTTGTGCAGATGCTGGACAGCTTTGGAATAGCCAAGGGGCATCAGTTGGTTCTCTTTTACTCATCGTCTCTCCAGTCAAGAGCCCCAAACAGCTGACCCTGCCTGGCTTTCTAGACTAACTCCCTTAAAAACATCTCATCTAGAGCTGGCATTATAACCATTAGCCAGAAGTATTGTAATTATCTTTTTTATGGATCCTCTCCCTCACCAACAATCTCTTTGTAAATAGGCTGCTTCTTATTCTCTGATAGTAACAATTTACATAGAAAAAAATGATTTAATATGCCAGATTCCCACCCGGCCGGTGTGGCTCAGCAGTTGAGCATCAACCCATGAACCCGGAGGTCATGGTTCGATCCTCAGTGGGGGGCATGCAGGAGGCACCAGATTGATGATTCTCTCTCATGATTGATGTTTCTATCTCTCCCTCTTCCTTCCTCTCTGAAATCAATAAAAACATATTTAGAAAAGGAAAAAAAAGCCAGATTCCCTAGGTAAATGCCTTGTTGCCTTCCTGCAAAGAAGGAGGATAGCAAATAGTTGCTATTTCTTTACTAAAGAAAGTTAGAGTGAGTGGCCTGTCTGTGTGTGCCACTGTCATTGGGGACAACAGGGACTCTCGACCCACTTGGCAAATGGCATGAACTTCCAAGTTTCTCTGTCTTCCCCAGGGCACAGGGCAGTCAGCCACAGTCCAGATTTCCCTCAAGTCCTGATTTCAAATAGTCTTATTTTCAACACAGTGATTTGTCTAATCTAACACTACATGTGGCTTAATCCTTATGCTGGTTGAAGACTGTTCATATCAATGTTTGAAAAATAGATAAAATCTTTAGACTATGTTATAGTTCTGGGTGAAAAAAATATGGTCACTAAACGTTTACATATTATCAAGTGTAACTAATAAGGTTTACATTTAATCCCCTAAATCAATCATAACTGAGGATGCACAGAGTTCAGACCAATGAGCTCTCTTTTAATCATTATAGCTGTGGATCTGAGCTCATTTCCTCCTCCTCCTCCTCACCAAAGTTGCTGCTTCTCCTTCCACTGACCCCTCCAGAAAATAAAAATATCATGTGAACAGCTGTTGGGTGGGTGCAGATGGATGGAACCCACAGGCAGTAACAAGTCCTGGCTGCCATTCGAGGCAGCTCTTTGGTTGAGCAGGGTCTGAGGGACCCTCTGCAGGGACCACGCTAGCTGGCATCACGGTACCTCACATCAGCAAGTTCAGGGGAGGGATGAGGCGAGGTGGGTGAAACTCTCCCTAAAATGCATCATTCCGCCCGGCCGGCGTGACTCCGTGTTTGAGCATAGACCTATGAACCAGGAGGTCACAGTTCAATTCCCGGTCAGGGCACATGCCCAGGTTGCAGGCTCGATCCCCAGTGTGGGGTGTGCAGGAGGCAGCTGATCGATGATTCTATTCCATCATTAATGTTTCTATTTCTCACTCTCTCCCCCTTCCTCTCTGAAATCAATAAAAATGTATATTAAAAAATATAAAATAAAATGCATCATTGCAAGAATGCAATAGCACAAACATAGAGGAAAGGCTTTAGTTATTTGGGAAACTGCTTAAAACAAACACTACCCACAATAAAAGAGTCGAAGAAAATTGCCCATTCGTGTTCCACCTCTCTCCTCCACTTAAACTTGCAAAGCCTGTGGTTACAAAACACACCTGGAGCAGCCTTTACTGCCATATGCCAAGATTTTCAGACTAGATACTAACAGGCCTCGCAGAATGCCAATAGATGCGTCTATTTCCTATCTCTCCTTCCCCCTTCCTCTCTGAAATCAATAAAAATATTAAAAAATTAAAAACACATATCACCATACCCTCCTCTTAGACATTTACAAGAAAATTAAAAGCACTGAAAAGTCCTCCAATAGAGGAATGCATTAAATTTCATTTGCTCAGCAAATAAATATGTTAACCATGGAACATCCCAGGGACCCAGCTTTCTGTGGGTCCCACTGTGCTGCGAGGTCCATCATCTTAGAGCAGAGTCAGGGGGCTCTGATTTAGAAAGAGCATTTCCCTAGCAGCACACAGCTTGTCAGAATGACTGCTAAGATACTCACTTCTGGGACCTCCTGGGCTTAAGCCACTCTCCAAGGAGACAGAGAACAAAGAATCTGGCTGGTTCTGAGCAGCGAGCTCTAGAAGGCTATTCCTGAAACCAATTCTTCCAACTTTGGGCACCTTTCCTGGTTTCTGGGTCATGGATTTTCTTGGGATGTGGCTCCATAGCCTCTGACTTTGGTAGCTCTCTGTGCTCTTTGAGCTAAGCCTTGTCCCAACGTCATTTAGCTTCCTGGTGCCTGTCCTCATCCTTTGGTCCACGGGCATAGTCTGATCCTGGGCTGCCCAGCTTCACTCTACAGCTCTGAGGTCAAGGGACTCCCTTCTAAGGTTTTATCCACTCTTGCTTCCGTGTCAACATATGGCTCACCACCTTACATCTAAGCTGTATTTCCTTGTGAGAATTAGTTACCTGGGAGAGGGTAATGGTCCATTCCCATTTTAATCAAGAAAACTTAACAGAGATCCAGTGACTCTGAGAAGGCCAGTGCACACTGATGCATTATATCATATAGTCTCTTGTTTCAGGTCCCAACCAAAGAAGAGCTGGCTGCAATTTTTACCTGTTTACCAAATTAGGGAACTGATCATTTAAGAAGTAGTAACCTGCCGAAGGTCACAGAGCTTAATTAATAGTCAGTCTGACCTCAGAGTGCATGCTGCTCTGACCCAATAGCCTCCCTTGACTCCCTCCCCTAACCCTTCCTATTCACTTTCTGAAACCACTGCCCAGGGACATGGCACTTCCACATGGTCATGACCCTGGGGCAGCTCAGGGTTCCCTCCTCTACCCCTCCTTTACCGTTTGGTCAACACATCATACCCTAGGTTTGTTCTTCTCTCCCTGTCCCGTCATCAGAGTGATGCCCTTCTGCTGGGATTAACTGGTAAACCATGCTGTGCTAATGTGTCCTTTCTGGTAACACAATGCTTTCACCCAGGCTACATGTATATGTCTCCAGAGGCTCCGTATGCAGGGGCTCTACTGGTGGGATGGCGAAGACCTGTGGGAGGAGACTGCTGAGTCGGATTTGGAACTTCAGATCCCATGAACCTCTGCTTACTTTGCCTGGGCCTGCACTCTCAACGCTCCTTGCACGTAGCATCATGGAAGATTATTACTATTAAACAAAAACCCTATGCCATTGCTGCACCCCAAACTAAATGACTCAGAATGCCTGGGAAAGAGACCCCACCACTGGCATGCTATTAAAGCGCTTGGCAATTCTTACGTGAGAGTAGAGATGAATACTCATTTCCTAAACATAGGGCTAGCTGTGCAAATGGAAACACCTTTTCTAAATTTTGGTCTTCAGACACCCAAGAAGACGGTGAAAGATGACAAGTGGAGGAAAGAGGTTTAGTAGTCATGGACCTGACTGATTACCACATGTTCTTGGGGGTTTGGTTTTCTCACCCAGTAATGAGGGATTAATACTAACGGACCTCAAAGATGGTAATGGGAAATGACTAATCCAGACGGCCAATGGGTATTAGTTAGGCAAAGTTAAAATGCTTCCATGACAAGCAAGGGGATTTGAGTTGTCTGCCTCTTAAACATCGCCAAGAAAGCCCCAGTAATTATCAGTAATGAGCCAGAGTGGAATGCAATGAAGCAGACACCATACATAGACGCACTAATTACCAATAGATGGCTGCTGCGCTTTCCTCCCATTAATGTCTTTCCTCAGATAGCAATTTGGGAAAATAAATAAAAAAGAACACAACATCTTGAAGATTCTTTGGCACACTCCCACAAAGCCCATGCTAACTTATTAACAAACCATTTCCTGGAAACAGGTGTGCCCTGACTTTAAAAAAAATGGGGACCTACAATGAAAGAACCAAAGTGTTCTTTCATTTTACAAGCTTCCTTGAAGTAGAAACTTCCCTTGTGCATAATTCATTAACTTATTACCTTTGGGAAGAAAAAAATCAACCCACAATGGAGATGTAACTCTGAAATGATCACGTTAACCAGCGGGGAAATGTGAGTTAATTAAAAAAATCTTCACAGTAACTCATGATATTTGAAGTGAGGTTTGCACCCATGAAGCTAGAAAGAAGAGAAAGACGGAGACATATGTAGGTTGTGAGATAGAGTTTCCAGCCCCTGACACCACCATCGATGTCACAGGTGATGGAGACCATGGGCAGTGGGTCAGCATGGACGACTCATCGCCATGGGTTTGAGGAGGTCTACCCAGGGCATGTCAGTTCTGCTGCCCAGGCTCTCCCCTCCTTCAACTCCCATGTGGCCAGCACCAAGGTTAGTCTCCTTTGAATAAGAACTGTGTAATACTGACTCCAACATATCCGTTATAAGCTGAGTGCTGCGCTAGACTTTCGAAGGAAGGTGAGGATAATAAGGCACACCCCCTGCCCTCTATTCTTGTCCATTTAGGGTGGCCAGATATCCAAATTTGACAGCCTGGATCTTCTGGAAAGTTTCCATGACTAGGATTAGCAGTAGGGCTGCCAGATGAAATAGAGGATGCCCAGTTAAATCTGAATTTTAGTTAAACTACCAACAATGCTTTAGTATATGTCCCAAATATTTCATGGGACACACTTATACTTAAAAAAAAAAAAAGACACAGTTCTCCCTACAGATATCTCCAAGCTACAGTTACAAAGGCCACTCAGACAGTACTGAGGGCAAAAGAAGAATTCATGTTTTTAAATGTAAAGTTAGAACTTTTCTATGAGAAAAATAGAAGAAAAGGAAACAAAAT